GAGCATACACCCAGCAGCGCTGCTGATGCCTGAACGGTATGTGGAATGAAGTGGGCAGGCATCGGGAGGCCACTATGGCACGGGGCAAGCACTATGGGCAGTCTACCTGAAGTGTACCTGGCGTATAAGACGACCCCCCACTTGGAGGCATATTTTTCAGGGCCAAAAAATCGTCTTATACGCCGGCAAATACGGTATTTCATATCTGAGATGGGCGGGAACAGCGTGGGAGCTCCTAGGGGGCGGTTTCAGAGTTGTGCTTTCAAAAACATCCTTGTCTCCTTGGGGGACATCAACTCTGAAAGGATTTTGAATTGGCTACTTCTAGAAGCATCATTATCTTCATGGATGATCCCAAAGAAATGGTTGCAGATTTTTGAGGAAAAAAACAAAGCAAGGTAAAGCCTTTCTCTCACCTTGCATTGGCAAAACTACCTCTTCAGCATTTTGGTATTTTGGTTAACTTTTGAGTCAAAAGCATCTTACCAATAAATATAAATGTCATATACACAATTATGAAAATATTGATATGAGATAAGCCATATATGAATGTTGTATTCAACTTTAGGGTTTGCATTTAATCCTGAAGTGTTCACCTCCTTTCACGTCTATTTACACTATATTCCTATTACTAAGCAGGGAGGGGGCTCTTGTATAGTGCTTCATCGTTAATAAGTCAATACCTGTTCTGTTTCTGGGATGTTCTTTTCATGCATTAAAAAACTTCAAAAGTATTTGTGGAAATTTACTTTTCTTTTGAGACATATTTAGGAAAAAACACAACACTTTAAACTCTACCCTCAAATGATGGTCCTTAAAAAAAGGAAAACAAATTTTTCAAACCTATGTTAGTAACTACATCTAAGGCACTAACTAGGTTAGCTATAAATTACATGGTAGTGGAGTGGTTAAGAGTGGAGGTTTTAGGAACTAACAAGCAAAATAGAGACAAACCCTAGGGTGGGGGTGGGGAATAGGCTGGGGGGATTGAGCAAAAGGAATTCATGGACACAGACTGCAGCGGGGATAAATGGTGATGGATAGAAACTTGGGGTGGTGAACACACAATACAGTGTACAGATGATTTGTTATGGATTTGTGCACCTGAAACCTGTATAATTTTGTTAATCATTGTCATTCTAATAAATTGAATAAAAAGGAAAAAAATAAAATTAGAAAAAAAGGAAATTTTAGAGCCAGACTAAGTTCCAGTATAGACTGAGAATAGCTTGGGGTAAATTATGTAATTTATCTAGGTCTGTTTACTCATCTATGAAATGAAGGTAACAGTATTACCTACCTTCAGGGCTGTGTTTTAAGGGCTGTATGTATAGGATTGTGTTTTGAGGATTAAATCAGGTAAAATGCGTAAAATATGGTCAACACACATGATACATACCAAGCACTACATAAGTTGTTAACTGTTATTCTTTTTAACTACCGCTGTCCCTGAATATTTAAGTTATTTAAAAATATTCATATCTCAAAAAAATATGAATAAGTGTATGAAAGCATAAGTTCCCTTCAATTTACTGTTTGATGCCTGGACATTATTTGCTCAAACTTTTATTCTCATTGGAATTGATATACAGCTGTAACACACACACATGCTACAGTGTAATTTGTAACTTCAGGGCAGTTACAAAAAGATCTGGTGGTTTCCCACAAATAGATATACCATTCCTATACTGTATACAATATATATGAGTAGAATATATGAAACTGGTTTTCTTCCCAATATTTTCATGTAGCTTAGTGTCTATAAAAGTAAAAGGTGAGACCATAACTTTCACAATTCAGAGGTTTGCGTGGGAGATGGGTAAAATGGGAGAAGGTGATCAAAAGGTACAAACTTCCAGTTATAAAATGAAAGTCATAAGGATCTAAGGTACAGCATGGTGACTATAGTTAATACATAGTTAACTGCCTATTTGAAAGTTGCCAAGATTATACATTTTAAATATCCTCAACACAAGAAATAAAAATTGACAAATCAGCACTTAAGAAAAGCCAATTTTATAAATGTTCTTGTTTTTCAAGATGCTAATATCAGTCATGTTTGCAAACATGGAATTTTCATGTCTTGAGACACTGGAGAAAAGTTAACACTTAGCCTCAAGCATGTGATTCCTTCTCCAACTTTTTTTTTTTTTTTTTTTTTTTTGCTTTAAAGGGGAGCTGAAAGCAAGAGAAGTAAATAATACTTCTGTTCATTTTAAAGAAGTTTGTACACAATGAATATTACTTGCTAATACCATGTTACAAAAGGCATAATTAGCAACCCTGTAAACGTATCTATATCTGAATCAACCTCATCACCCTTCCTCTCCTTTCAAAGGCATAACCAATTATTTCACTTCTACATTTGACCCCATTCCCTCTTTTGTGGGATGTTCAGTATCCATGCCTTTCTTCACTCATTCCTCTCCCTGTGACTTAAAGTTCTTCATTGTGCAGTATCCTGAAAAAACAGTTGACATTCACTGATGTCTTCAAGCTTCTCCCATTCTCCATTTTCATCTTATCATAATCTTGTTTATTCCCCACAACTGTATTGTAATTGTTCTGACAAAAGTAGCAATGACATTTCACTTCCTAAATTCAAGCAAAATGTTTGTCCAATGGCCTCAATCCCTTTTTATGTGTCCTATCTGCTATTTTTAAAAAAATATATTTCTTTATTGATTTCAGAGAGAAAGGGAGGAAAGAGAGATAGAAACATCAATGATGAGAGAGAATCATTGATCGGCTGCCTCCTGCACACCCCCGACTGGGGATCGAGCCCACAACCCAGGCATGTGCCCTTGGCCGGAATCAAACCTAGGGACCCTTCAGTCCGCAGGCTGATGCTTTATCCACTGAGCCAAGCCGGCTAGGACCCTATCTGCTATTTTCATAAAGTTTGACTCTACTGTTACCATTACTTTAGGAATTTCGTTTCTCATTTGGCTTCTGTGACATTCCTACCTTGGGTTTCCTACTTCTCTGGCTCCTCCTTTTCAGTTGTCAAGCTATTTCTAAGCCTAAATTTAAAATATTGATATATCAGAGGTTAGTTCACTATTTAATCTTTTCTTCTCCTCATTCCACTTGGGAAGTCTAACCTTATGGTTTCAAATACCACCGGCAGGCTGGTGCTTTCCAAACCAATTTCTGTTGCCAGGTCTTTGGTAGCTATTTCTAAGCATCTTCTAAAATATCTTGACCAGGGAGCCCCACACTTATCTCAAGTTCGATGTATAGAAAACTGAACTTATGACTATCAGTCTGTCTAGTCAAGGAAATATACTAGTCTAGGTATTTTAAACAGGGAATTTAACACTTGGAATTGATTACATAGGTAATAAAGGAAACAAGAGGCATGGTGATGGCAAGACAATCCAGAGATTAGCAACAGAAGGAAGCCATTATTACCCATAAGGCAAGAGGGATAACAGGAATGGTGAAGTTTCCAGAAGGTAGAAGGCAAGGCCGTCCAACGAGAGCTGGAACAATAGTTGAGGCTAGAGCTATGACCACTGAGGAAACTGGAAACAAAGACATAAAGCTTGTCTGGAGGGAGCTGAAATCTTGGAAGAAATCTGGTCACCCTAAGAAATGTTGTCTGAGGCAAAGTGAGAGAAAAATACCTTGGCTTCTTCCAACCTTTCAACCTCTAGTCCCCCACCAGCATCTGCCATTGCCTAAACCTGCCTGGAAACTAGAGAGCCTGGGTAATGCTAACAAGCACAGAAGTGCAGAGATAGACTCAAGATCAAAGAAGCAAATTCTCTACCTACTTAGTTGATTAAAGAAAAACTTGTATATTCATCATATACTCCCATTGTCTCTAAGTCTAATCCATTATTAGACTCTATCAACCTCAGAAACCTTTGTTGAATTTCTCCCCACCTTTTCACTTGCTTTGTCCTAATCCTGTTTGGTCCTCTTTTTTTCTCTTCTGAACTGTTCATCATCATCCTAAATATTCTTATCCCACTTTCAGTCACCCCAACTTCTTATTTATGCGTCTCCATTTATTTTTCTAGTAATATATTTGTTTTGCTATTCTCTTGTTTAAATACTATCCTGTTCCGTGTGGAATAAAATATTAAACATTTTTCACTTGAATACAGTGCCCTTTTAATTTCCTCTTCCTCTGTGTATCTTATGGGGATCAAGAAGAGCCTGACTGGACTGTGATGATCATTATTATAAAATCTCCAAGGGTTCCTTTGGTAAATACATTAGTTGATAGCCCTTGAATCATGAAGGCAGAGATATGACAGTAACTATGGCTTTGAAAGTAGGTGGTAAACAGATTAAATTTGATTTAGAGGTTGAACAGTCTGAAAAATGTGTCAAAGATT